TTTTTTTTGTTGTTGTTAAGCACAGCACTACACGATGGACTATGTGTGATCAATCTTCACGGGCATCGAAACCCAATGTTTAGCCTGGAATAGCTCATCAACTTCTTGGCTATACAAATTTAATATTTTAATTTTTTGTATCTAATTTGATTTTATTTATGCACATTGTGTTTTTTTTATCTTTTTTATTGCTTTGCTTTTTTTTTCAAATACATCTTCGAAGTATGAAGTTTATATATATATATATATATACGTCGTATTTTAACAATAATTATAACCGTGCTTAATTAAGGGACTATATAAATAGGAAAATAAATGGAGTTTTGGACACATTTAGAAAAATCGTTGTTATCAAAGCTAATAGTTTTATGAGAATGTGGCAGGTTTTGAATACACTCAAAGGTTCTAATTTGTTTTCTCCTTATGTTAGTTGCCTGTAATGAATGATTGTAACCTAACTTTTAAAATTAATAATAATAAAAAGGCAGTTTTTTTTTAAATATTCAACGCAGCACAAAGGCAGTCAGATGAAACCTTCCAATTCCGATATTGTGCTTCGTTTCTTTAATCGACTGCGTTTCTACAATTAGCGCATGACCCCCCTATAGACTAATATATGCCTATATATTACATGATACATGGTCTCCATAACACGGGTTTTGTAGGTGTTTTATCGTGAAGTTAGGTACACTGCATGAAGGAAGTGGGTGGGTGTAGTCACATGACAGTACATGAAGGGAATGAGTGAGTGGATGTTCCTGAAGTGTCGTGGTACCACATGAGAAGAGTGAGTGGATGGGGTACCTGAGGTTGTGGTCCACATGGGGGTGGGGTGGGTGGGTGTGTACCTGGAGGTTGTGGTTCCACATGAAAAGAGTGAAGTGAGTAGGTGGGGTTCCTGAAGTGTCGTGGGAACACATGAAGAGGTGAATGGGTGGGGTACCTGGAGTGTCGTGGTACCACATGAGGGGAGTGAGTAGGTGGGGTTTCTGAAGTGTCGTGGGACCACATGAAGGGGATGAGTGGGTGGGGGTACTTGAAGTGTCGTGGGACCACATGAGGGATGTGTGTGTATGGGTAAAATAATATGGTTTATGGAATGTGAATGATTATGTGTGTGTGTGTCGAAGTTGTCAATGGCAGTACAGCTGAGCAGAAGTAGAAGTACTTTATAAAGCTGGCCTGGTGGTTAAGGTGCTCGACCCGTAATCTGAGGGTCGCAGGTTCGAATCTCATCAGCAAATACGTTCACTTTTTCGGCCGTGGGGCATTATAATATGATGGTAAATCTCAATATTCATTGGTAAATGAGTAGCTCAAGAGTTAGCGGTAGGTGGTGTTAACTAGCTGCCTTCCTTCTAGTTTTTCACTGCTAAATTAGGGACGGCTAGGGCAGGTAACCCTCGTGTCGCTTTGCGTGAAATTCAAAAGAAACCACACTTTCGAATGTGCAAAACAGTATAATAATTTGAAATCTGTGTCATAAATCTCCTGAAAAGTACATAAAAACACAATACAGTATGTACTTTCAGCGCCTGCCCTACTTAAAGATGAATGATTTACTTGAATTTGTAAAAGTAAACCAAGTTTCTGGGCAAGTGAAAAACAAAAGTTACGCACGCTAAAAGACGTAAACAAAATGTTTAATTTTAGACAAATTGTATAATTATTCTTCGCGTGTTGATAAAACTTTTTATGATAAGAAATAATCGAGAATTTATTAAGTTGTGAAACAACTACATTTTTAGCAACTCAGTGATATCGGAGAATTTTAAATTAGTTAAAAGGATTAAGCTGAATATTCGCATCTAAATACAATACGAGAAGACACACACACATAAGATATCTGTATTTATGTAAATCTTGACAAGATTTGTTTTTGAAATATCACGTACTGTATACAAGCTATATAGATTACAACTTCAAATATGGTCAACAGATGGCGATTACAATCTGAAGGTAAATATTCAGCGAAAATACAGGGCGCTAGGTATGAATTTATTAAACTTTTTCTAATCATTCTTCTCCAATACTATATAGTTACAGCATGACAGCAAGGTTAATTGTGATGTTTCCATGTGACACTGCTAATACTTTTTAAGAGAAGGATTACTTGAGTGATCACATAAATTTTCACGTCATAGTTTTAATCACTGACTCTTATTCTAGTCTGTGCCATAATGCTAATTTCGTGTGTACAAAACAATAAATATGATTTTTTTTCCAATTTAATTTTTTTTTAAATATGTTTTTTTCAATTCATTTAATTCTCTTCATGTCAAGTGCCTCTACAAGGTCTAGTCAGCGTACTCTGTCTCGGGTCATCACTTGGGTCTGTCCCCAGGTCATCTTTGTCTTAGATTTCATTTCGACTTTGGTTGTTTTTCTCCATGTTGTCTTGGATCTTACTTTTCATTATTTCTTCTCAAGAATCCAGAACGTAGTCTCTTTTGTGATGCTGTCCTGGTTTTTCTTAGCACGTGGCCTATCCACATTAATAGTATTTACCACGATGTCTTCCTGTACTGCCTTTATTCTCACTTCATTGTTTGGGAATTTTGTGGGCCATCGCACTCTTAAGAATTATCCTAAGGCATTTTGTAGACGAACACATTTAATTTTATTTTATTTTTTCCAGCAGCGTAATCCATAGAGTAATATGGATTTTACATTTGTATTAAGGAACGCAGCTTGGCCTTGAGAGAAATCTTGCTTAATCTCCACAATGGTTTTAGATATGCATGTCTAGCTTTGTTAATTTGACCATTCACAACAACATCTGTTCCTCCTTGCTCATCAACTATACTTCCCATTTACTTGTTGCTATGTTTGCGAGTTTGCATTAATCTATATCAACTTTGTATTGTTGGTGTTAACTTTCAGACCAGTCTTCTAGGAGTTGATGATTTAATAGATTAACATAACATTTTATTTGTCGGGTAATATATTTTTCAGTGGTTATTAAAACTGTTATGCACACGTTCCTTATAAGCAAAGAGTAGTGTCTATCATTTTGCAGTTTACTTTGTCGAATATTAAGGAAAAAGTGTAACGTGGTATATTTTTCACTAAATCATACAAAAAAATCGTATAATTTAATGTGTTAACCGAATTGTTTTTATAGATGCATTATCAAATGAAAAATAAGTTATTAAGGTGCTTCCTAGTGGCTCACCGGTAAGTCTGCTGACTTATAACGCTCAAAACCAGGTTTCGATTCCCGTATTGATAGCCCATTGTGTAACTTTGTGCTTAACTACAAACAAACAAGTTATTAAAAACCGATTGTATAAAAATGCGATTGCTAATAATTACCTAGTTCAATAGATGGCGCCACCATAACAATGCTTTTGAGGTTAGATCTTTCAGCTTTAGGAATGAATTGGAAATAAGTAGGATTAACAAAGTGTAAAAGTTAGTGACGTAGGCTTAATGATGTCATAGCAATATGCCTATAGAATTATGGGTTGCTGTGCATACACATGACGTCATAGAAGCTCGCGTCATTAACTTTCATTATTTTTATATATCTCTTACACGTCCCAAATTCAAAGTAAAAACAAGTAGAAAAACAACAACAATGGAATTTCCTCAGAAATTAATAAAATTCGTAAAACTATCTACTATGCAAGGACTTATACCATAAACGATCTAATGTTCGAATTTACAGGTCGTATTTATGAAACAATATAAAATGAACAATAACAAAAACATTTGGTACCTAAGAAAATAATGGAGAAGTTTAATTTTAATCAAAATATAAAAAATGTTCCTTTCAATAACGACTATTTAGTTAATCTAGTAAAGTCATGTTTAAAGAAGAAATCGTTGCTACAGTTAATATTATCTTTTTCTTCTTAGTTCTTGTTGTTCCTAGTACCTTTGGATTAGAAATCCAACGCGCTATCCACTGCGCTATAGGGACACACAGTTAATATTATATATGATATTATTTGTTACATTTATAGCATGGTTACAATATATATATATATATATATATATATATATATT